GGAGTGCGAGGAGGCGGCCGCGCCCGCCCCGCCCGCGGCCCAGCCGGTAGGTGCCCTCGCGCCAGCCCGGCTCCGCCCGGCCCTGTCACCCACGGGCGGCTGTGGAGCTGAAGCGCCTTCTTCTGCCCCTGGTAAAGCCCCCGCCCGCAGCCTCCTCGCGGCCGCCCCGCCGGGCAGGTGATCCGAGGGCTCCGGCTCCCGGGAGGCAGGAGGCAGCCCTGGGCCCCTTGCCGCGAAAGCAGCCTGGACCCGCCCAGGGCTCGGATGAGCTTTCCCTCTGAAAACTCCTTCGGGGCTTTGGCAGCCCGCGGGGGCCGGGTGAGGCGGAGCCTGTCAAGGCAACTCAACTTCTCCAGCCCCTTTTGATGCCACAAATGTCAGCACCCTTGATGCCGGCTCTGAGCACAGCGGTGTTTTGGCTGCTGGTTTAATAGGGCTTCAAGATCCACCACAAAGATGATAGGGCTAAAGGGAAGGACTTCAAGGTAGAAAATGGCTAGACCTTGGCAGGCTTCCCCTATGGCCTCCACAGCAGATACAGTGGGGCTTCATGCCATGAGAGACGGTGTCTCTTTAAAAGATCATTTCCATTGTCAAACTACTCTATTTCCAAGGGAGCATGACAAGGTTGATATAAAGTACATTTTCTATTAAGAAACTTGGCCAGGATCACCATGGAAACTTTATATATAAGTCCTATTAAAAGACAGCCTTCAAACAAAAACCTTGTTTTGGCAGAGCAAGTTCTAGATGTGGAAAAAAACAGAGCTCTTGTGGTTTCATATGCTTTCTTGGCTTGACTAACTCAAAAACACCCCTATTATAAGATTCAGAGGTTGGTGAGCAGTTTCTCTACGTGAGCCACCCCACCAACTTCACTGCTTTAGCTTTACTCACTTGAGTAAGAGTTGGATGAAACAACTGTACACTTTTGTTCCATCATTGTGCTGGAATATTAATGTTAGTATTTTCAAAACCAACCCAGCTGAACATGGCCGAGTCTGGATAGGATCAGTATTTTTAAATGGCTGTACTTTAAAATGTGGTCTGTTCTTATTAACAACCCAACAGATTCACAAATTATAGCAAGCTATGGCTGGTAGGTAGTAAAAGGTTTTCTTTCTACAAAAATAAGTAAGGGAAAGTTAAACTGTAAGAGTAGGTTTTAGTGAAATGCTAATAACTGGCAAACCACAACAGCGCAAGCAATGCTGAAATAGATGAGATCACTCAGCTGAGATCACTTGGTTGTGCTTAGCTGAGGCTAGCACATACCAGATATGTGGTGCCATCCACTAACTTGAGGCATTTAGAAATCTCTTTGTCCAGCTGCTGCTCACCAAGAGACTACAAATAGGTGGCATGCAGCCCATGAACAGTACAACAAGCTACCACAACTCCAGAGATGGTAGCTAGCAGGGCCAGACACAGGCAGGGGTGAACTGGGTGGCTGCCTGGGGCCCAGACAAAAAGGGGGACCAAAAATGGTAATTTTAAATGTATTATTATCATTATGTCTGCCAAAGGGGGGCCCGATACTAAAAGTTCAGCCCGGGCCACTAGGAGTCTAGGTACAGTGCTGGTGGCCAGCACAGACAGGGCTGTTCCAAAGGCTTTCCAGCCATATTCATCCAACTCAGTTGTGCTAATACAATTGAAGAAAGCACCTATTCCTTTCGAGACAAACTGTTTGAAGGAAGATAAAATATCACCACCAGCAGTTTGCAAAGTAGTGGAAGAAAATCTCTGGTTAGATTTTTAGGCTTTTCTATTCTTTGAGGCTATCCTTTGATTGATAGTGTTGCAGCCATCCTAAATTTGAAGTAACAGGACTCCAGTCAAAGAACATCATGGACGTACACATCTAGATCTGCAGGGTCCCAGAAATCAGACAGCCTGAGAGAAAAGACCAAGTGAAACTATTTAAAAGCAAAAGAAAAAAAGCAGTTACTTAGGCTGTGTAGGAGTTCAGCTCATCATACAAAGTGCACTCCTGCTCCACTCTTTTGCTGGCCATATAAGAAGTCTGGAAAAGATGATTATGTTTGCTTAGCTGAGAATACATTTTATTCCAATTCTTCAGAGGTTTTGAAGGCAGCTTCTTATGATCTTGTTGGCTACTCCTCCATTAATGAGTTCTTTCCATCAAAAAATGGTAACTCCTGTGACTTCCCCTACTTATGGCAAACTAAGGGAAGAAAAGGGATTAGGTAATAAAGACAGAAAAAGGTTCATAATCATAAAGAGCAGTGGTCACCAACCAGTCGATCCCGATTGTGGGGCCTCTGACAGTCTATCTTAGTTTGTCAGGGGCTCCACGATCAGTAGCAGCAGGATGCACATGGCTAAGCTGAGCCATGCCCCCTGCCACCTGGGCTGGTCTGGGTGAGTGGGGTCAGATCCCAGGCAGCTTGTGGGGGTGGGAGCAGGAGAACAGGGCCACGCTCCCCCGTAACTTGGTGTCATCCATGAACTTGGCCAGTGAGTTCTTCACTCTCACATCCAAATCATTGATCCTGGGGTGCCAAAAAGTGATCTTCACCATAAAAGGTTGGAGACCACTGATATAGAGCATATGGTATTTGCACAGGTAGGGTTTAAAAAGAGCAAGATAGTCATGGAAGTGAGAGAATGGGGATGAAAAAGACATTGCAGCAGAAAAGTAAGCTGAAGTCAGACAAGCAAATGCCGTCCCTTCATCTTGGAGGCAAGGCAGGGCCAAACTTGGGTTGAGTAGGTGCATAGGGCAATCCAGGATTTTAAAAAGGGATGTGGGAGCAGTGAATGGCACTGCAGAGGTGGCTGCACTCCCACTCCCATCCTTCCCTCTCAACTGGGGCAGGCTGACCATGCATCTGGGGACTTTTTAAAAAAGTCTCTGAATCAGGTAAAAATCCCCCTCTCCCCCTTCCTCTTCTGGCACCCAGTCCCTTCCCCTTAATGCTCAGCAGCACTTCCCTTCCCATTCTTATTCTCAGCCTCTCTACTTACAGGAAGGGGAGACCTGCCTGCCCACCACAGTCCCAGCTGCTCCTGCCCTGTTCCAGCTAGGGCTGTGGGGAGTGGTTGCATGGAGGACTGGGTTCAGCTAGGGATAGCAGTGGTAGCAGGTGGGCTCCCACTGCCTGCACCTGCCCGCAACGGCCACTGTCCCCAGCTGAGCCTGGCTCCCCATGTAATCCTTCTGCA